CTGACAACAAACCTTCCTTTGCCCTTCAGTTCCACACTGATTTTCAACAGGTCCACTACGACTCATTATAAAAAGTAATGCTCAACCAAGGTAAACTATATGAAACAGAAGAAGCTTAATGCTTTCTCTAAACCCCATATTTCTCTAGTTAATTTACAGAAGAGTCTGTATCCTTCACAAGGAACATACAGGTACACACTTTCAAAGGTGCTCAAGCTCTGCTCTCCCTCTCTTTGAAGTTTTAGTGGAGTTGGACTTTAGACACCACCAACTACATGAAATAAACTTCTGCATTAATTAGAATATATACATAGAAGGTGGTTGTGACATGCCAGTTAAAACACCACTGAATTAAATATGGCAAGTATGTATTCACAACTTTGAATGAGGGTATGTGTTAACAACGAAAATATTTTCCAGTGGCAAACAGGAGTAGTAACCAATGACAAAAAATTTAGAGGTAGGCAAATTTTGTAATGCTTGTGGTGTTTCTGCGGAATAGGATAGGGTAAACATCTATGAAACAATTACTGACTATACTGTGCAAACCCCAGGACACAGAATCACACAGAATCATTAAGGTTTGAAGAGACCTTTAAGATCATCAAGTCCAACCATCAACCCAACACCACCAAGCCCACTAGACTATATCCTGAAATGACACGTCTACAATGTTTTTTGAACACTTCCAGAGATGGCGACTCCACCACCTCCCTGGGCAGCCTGTTGCAATGTTTGACCACTATCTCAGTAGAGAAATTTTTCCTAATATCTAAAACCTCCCCTGGTGCAACTTGAGGCCATTTCCTCTCGTCCTATCGCTAGTTACTTGGGAGAAGAGACCAACACCACTGACTTGGCACATCCACTGTTCCACAGTAGGTTGTGTCAGAATCAGGACCAAGCATAGTAAATGATGGTGTACTAGATGAAAAAAAAAGAATAATAGGAATTTTTAGGAGTTCTGAGGTGTCTTTTACTAAAAATAAAAAGCTTTGTGGACTGTCATGTCAAATTGCTTCACATGGATATGAAATTTGCATTCAATACTCAGTATTTCATCACTCGTTCAAATGCCTATCAATGTGCCTAGGTATTCAAGCTTGTTTATTGATCCCTCCCTCTGTTGAGTATGAATTATTGCTTACATACAGAAATGACTGTTTAACTGAAAAACGGTTACCACATCTTCTGAATTGCAAGAAATGTCAAAGTACTATATTTGACATATTTTGCAACAAGTAATAATATAACATGCAGTAGTAGTAAATTTTGCAAAAACATCAGGAATTTGGTAGAAATTAGGAGGAATAGCAGGATCTGTACAGTAAGTTTCAGTTTTGCACAAGCAACAAGTTTTATCTGTCATTATTTTAAATTAAATAATAAAATATAGACCACCTTCCAGAACTATTTTGCTTTTAGATGGCCAAAAGAAACAGCCACTGACAATCTGTGTTTTATGAAGGCAGGCTGCTTTGAAAGTGTAGGTGTCTGCCACAGTACAATAAAAGGAATGTAAATGTTAGATAAGATAATACTGCTTAAATTCACTTAAGACTTTTCAAGACTTGTATATCTGAAGACTCTAGGACACTGCCTAATATGTAAGAATCATTTTTGATTTAGAGAATTGCCTTTACAACTTTAAAAAAATACATAGTTAATATACTTATGAAACAAACACCATGCAGGCACCAACAAGGCTTCTTCCAAACTTGTGTTTCCATTTAAAACTTTATTTTGAATGTTCAGAACATCACCAGAAACATAGAAACTTGTAGGCACAAATGACTTCATATCCAGAGTTTTTGAATAAAATATTTGCTAATGAAATCGCAACAACACGTTTTCATGATATCTATGTATCTTAATATTTCATATATACATATAAAAATCATGCGTTTTAAAGAGTAATTTTGTCTAGATCATGTTTTCTGGGTGCTAAAATTCACTGTAGATCTTACATGTTTTAAATGTGTCATTTTTTCCTGTACATTTTAAAGAGTTTATTATACTGATATCACATTCCCAAATAAAACACAAAATGTAATAAAGCTATATATGTTCTTTATTTAGCTTACAGTTTTTTCCTTGTATTAAAAAAAAAAAGTATAAGTAATAGCAAAACAAATGTTTTACACCTGCTCAGAAGTATGTAATATATGTAAAATACAGTAGTATAAACTAGGATGACAATGCAAGGGTATAAAATATGTTCTCTTTCGAGCCTGGGGTCGATAAGTAATATTGCTTCTATACTGGCCTTGCTTTGATACATGGCCTTGCTTTGATACATGCAAGTCCATGAAATAATTCATGGCTTATTATGTAGCAGGTGAGGAATCAACTGGGAATTAAAGGAAATGGTCCTCAAGCCTAACAACTGGCAGCAATTTACCTCCACCTCGCCATACAGTTACTCTTTTCTTGCTATGAGGCACATTCAAAAAAAGTCCAGGACCAAATTTCAGCCTGTAACATCCTTGCAATCATAACCTTTTGAGTAATTCAGCTTCTCCATAGTCTACTTCTACTTTACTATGTAAATAATTCCTCCAAATAAAGTAAAAATATTTAAAGGATCTTTGTCTTTACATAGACCTTATTTTCTTAGAGTTTCTAGCATTATTCCATGCTGGCTGCTTAGGCATGTGCCGTGCATGACGACCTGTGTCAGCAGGAAACCTCTCTACTGCAGACCTCTGTGTGTGACCCAACACTCATTAAGTGTGATCATTCTTTTGATTTTCCAGTATCGTTAGTGGAATCCAATTCTGCGAAGATGAGTATTGTCAGCCATTCGCTTACAAACAGAGTAGTGTATAGACATTTATAAAAGTCTTACTAAACGTGGTGCTTTTAAATGGTTTACATCCCTGATCTTGAAATACTGCTTGATCTATTGACAGAGTGACAAGAAAAAGATGCAATTAGCTGTATAAGCCATACCGGGTTTCTTTATGTGTTTTAGAAACTAGTTTAAGAATGCGACGGAACAGTCTGACCAAAGGCAGAGCAAGCACTGGGTGGGGGCTGAGGAAATCTGCTTTTATTCCTGGGTCTGCCACGAACCTGCTGGGTAACCTATATGCAGTTTCTTCCGCTCTTCGTGCCTCAGTTTCACCACCTGAGAAGTTAAGAGAATGATGCATTCTGTAAAGTGCTTTGAGATTTACGGAGAAAAAGCATTGTGTAAGAGCCAGAAATTTATTGTTAAAGAAGATTCTGAGATGTTTTTCATGCTCTTTCCAATTTTCCCTTCTTGTGCGATGAAGTAAACACACAAAATCTTGTCTTCTTTGAAATCAGTAGGAGTTTTACACTTGATTTTAACGGTGCCAGAATTTCTTCAGAGTGAATGACAAAAGTTGTGCTCCTTTCTAGACAGTGCTAATAGCAATTCTTGCTCAAAGAAATGTGTACTACCACTCTACCTGTGAAACGGCTGCACTTTTGTTTGAAAGGTGGAAGGTAAGCAAGCAATAACTCCAAGAGGAACATGGTAACAATTTTTAATGCAAATACTGCATTTGAACAGCTCGTAGAAGATATTTATAATGCAACAGCATGCATACTAATAATAATAGTACTTGACTGCATTTTCCTATAGTATGATTTTGACATAAACATTTACTAAAAATATGGTGGTTTGTTTTTATTATTTCAAAGCAGTTCCTAAGGTGCAAATTGTAGCTTATACAATTTTGATGTGTCCTTTAAAAATTGTATGTGCTTCTTTTATCTTAGATGGTTTCTGTTATCAGTAGGATACATACTTTATTCAGTCATGTCAGATTTTAAAAAAGCTTTGGAGAGAGATACAGAGAAGCTCACAGTTTGTACACTTTTCCCCTTCCAAAGGCTTTGAGAAGAGCAGTTTCCCCTGACATAGTGGTTTAAACCTTTTTTTTTCCCCATTATGAACTTTGTATTGCATTGTACCACAGTACTGACTGCAACTCTTAATATGTCAAATCCTGTAGTACTTACCCCAGCAAATACTCTCTAAGAGACTTTTGTGGGCCCTAACTCCAGATATAGGATTTGGTTCTATAACTAGTCACAGCAGTTCAAATCATGAGTTTAAAGGTAAATACAAAATACTTCAGACAATATAAAGGCAATAGATCTAGTACTGTATGAGTGCAAAACCATTCTAATTGGAATACAGCAATGTAAAGAAGTTTCACTCAGCTAATCCGGTAATTTGAGTAAAAACTTTGTACACTACACTGACCCCTCTCCAAGGGGAGACCATCGACCACCCATTCAATAGACTTTCTGTTCGTTCACTAATCACACCATATGTTCACATATCCACCAGCAGCGTGTGAACTGAGCCTTGCTCTTGGAGGCTTTCGTAGGCGACTCCCCAGCCAGTCCTCCCTGGGGAAGCTTTCTGTTTCTATATGTACACCATTTTTACACAATCGGACGTTCTCCACAGGCAAACATCTGCTCTTCTGAAATATACTGGGGCCAGAAGCACAGGTCGTTCTTGAGAGGATGGGTCCAGAAAAAGAGATGATCTCCATCTCTCCTACAGGGTCTGGCTTTTCCTCATTCTTCAGTTCAAACACTGCATCATACTAGAAAGAAATCTCATGCTGGGGGTTAGAGAGAATATCTGTTTCTCTTAACTGTTATCCCCACACTTCCTTTTAGTGCAAAATAGTTCGTTTATTTGGCAGATCTGAGACTACCTTTTGCACACTGTCCCACCAGTCAGTAATGAAAATTGCACACAATTGTTTGTCCACAGCATTCTTAAAGGATGTGATAATGCCACCCAGCATGCATATATGTTCTAGGTTTCTTCACAGCAGTATCTTTGTTTTTCTTCTAAAATTATACGTTGCATTCTCTTGCAGTTATATGCAAACATAAATAATATGAAGTTGAATTTCCAAATCTTTTCCAAATTATGCTAAGGATGAAATTTCTTTTCTTCTGTAAATTACAAAATTAGATAACCTGGTCCATCTTTCTTTCTGATTTTTTTCTCTGATAGCTAAAGTACATTATTTTTTAATTGTTGGCTTTTTTCATGGTAACCACAGTAACTCATTGTTTCAATTTCCAAATATTTATTTTAAAACAGGTATTAATAAACAGGGTCTTGCATGGTTGTTTGCTGTCTATAGGTTTTACATGGGTATTGTCAGACAGGTGAGACTGTATGACTGACTTCTGACAGTGCCATTTCACATCACCACACATTTGCCTTTCAGCTTCTCTTTCCTTTTCTGCTGCTTGCTTTTTTTGCCATCAATTTGTAAACTCACAGTCCTGCGTTTCTCTAGGTTTAGCAGTTCTTGGAATAACTCTTTCACATTGTGATTCAGCTTGGCAGAAGTCTCCATGAAGGCACATTTCCACTTCTTAGCCATGGCTTCTCCTTCGCTGCTGTCCACCTCTCGATTTTGGTTCTCATCATTTTTGTTCCCCACCAACATTATTGGAATACTTTCTACGTCTCCTTTAATCTGACATATTTGTTCATAGATCGGTTTGAGTTCCTCCAAGGATTGTCTGCTGGTGATAGAATAAACCAAAATGAAAGCATGTCCTTTAGAAATAGAAAGACGTTGCATGGCTGGAAATTGATGGCTCCCTGTAGTGTCAGTTATCTGCAAAGTGCATATGCTCTTGTCACAGCTGATCACCTGCCGATAGGTGTCTTCAATTGTAGGGATGTAGCTCTCTCTGAATGTACCCTTCACAAATCTTAAGACCAAGGAACTTTTGCCCACTCCTCCAGCTCCAAACACAACCACCCTGTAATCATTGCTTTGCTCAGGCATGTTTCTCGGTGTATCTGTTGCTCAGCTAGAGGGAAAAATCTAGGAAAGAAAGCAAATGACAAAAACAAGAAGACAGACATTAATACAAGTACATGTGGAGAGTGCACTTTGTGATACCTTTCCCAATAAAATAAATGAATGTGATGTAAGCGATGGCATACTGGTTGTGATAATTTAAGAAGTCTTATGGTGGGTGACAGAATGATTTATTTCAGTAGTAAATTTAGGATTTGCAATCTGGCCTGGACTGGTAATAAAAGACCATCTTCACTACTACATGACCAATTTTATATTAACATTGTGAGTTTCAGTATTCTTGCTAGTGGACTAGTATCCCCAGAAATAAAAATATGCATCTGGGAAATGGTATTTCAGCAAGGTCAAGGCCCAAACAAATTGTAGCAACTGAATTACTCTTCTGTCTCTAAAACAAGTGCCCTCAAATCATTGTTGAAACACACCAGTATACATGTGTATGACAGTGAATTACCCTAAAAATACCATCTCTTAAGTAGTTTGGGAATTTATATCCACTACAACTGGACAACCCTCTTGAGTGATGCCTAAAATGTATTTGTAGCTATTCAGCAATAGCACCAAGCATGTTTGTTTCTAACTTTTTGGGAACATGTGCCCCACTTCAGTGTGTTCTTCCATTTGCATTTCGGGTCAAAGAGTACATTTTGGTAAACTGAGATTGTTCATGTTCAACTTGCTTTTTCATTCTAATCTTTATTTCATCTTTATATTCAATAATTCTTTTCTTTTTCCAGTATTGATATTTGTAGACAAGCTACACTTAGCAGAAAAGTTGTGCAGGTGTCTTCACCACATTTTTAAGTCACTTATATCATTAAGACTGGCAAATGCATATATCAAAGCTCACAAAACTCTGTGCTCCCTGAAGTCAGTTCCCCTTGACAAAACCTGTTTGTAAACAGTAGGGCCATGAATATTGTCACCACTATTAAGTAACAGAAATGGTAACGTTTTCACAGAGTTGCAAGCTGTAGTTGTTTTAGAATTCATTGAAATACATGTGAAGATAAATTTGTCCTCCCATCAGTAGCAGCTCATTAGGTACACAGCATATACAAGTGTCTTTTTATATTTAGTGAGATTTAAGCCAACAAACACTAAGAAATTGAACCCTAAAAGTTGAAGAGAGTCTAGGATATTGTTATTTTTCAGACCAAAACTAGATATATAACAAGTATGTGTGAAACACACTAGAAAATTTGCTGCATCTATACCTGTTCTTAGGAAAATGGGCTGATTTAATAGGGAACCTTGTCCAAGTGCCCTAATTTCTTCCTGAATTTCTGAATTACTGGATTTCTTACTGGATAGGGAAAGCCTTCAAGCTAGTTCATCACTGCAGCAGAAGGAGTGATTGCACTGTGGGGCAGGATTTTAAGCTGCCCTTTAACTATCTAGAACAGAGAGAATAAGAGTGGTACTGTAGAGGCATGGATGAGAGTAGACTTCCCATGACCTTATCCCAGTTGCCAGCCCACACAGAATTTCGTGCTTCTGCATCTTTCATGCTGCCTGTGCCAGTTAGATTAAAGCTGTGGCTACCCACGCTGCACTAATGTCTTCGTTTTGCTGTTCAAGCATACCCTGATTTTGTTATACTTCTTGTCCTGGGCATCCTATTCTGTCCTAATCCTAATGTCTGAGTACGCTGAAAACATCTGTCTTTACATAACGTGTTGGATGAAGTTGGATGTGTACTTCCTCACGGGCCACACTGTAGGCAGAGCAACCAGCGCAGCCGGGGATGCTGATCCTGAGGCGAAGTGGAGAGCTGTCACAGCTCTGCCTACCTAGCCTGGCTTCAGGCAAAAGGCACTTCGCCCCCGCCGTCCCTCCTACACGGCAGTCACTCTCAGAGACCTGCTTAAATATAGGAAAGATTGATAAGAGTGTTCATCCCGAGGCACTGAAGCAAAATTGTTTCTCTCTGACAGCAGAATTCAAAGAATGGAAAGAAGAGTAGTCTCAGAAAGCGCTGGTGTACGCACTTACGTAAGATGGAAAACCCTCTCAGGAGCAAGGAAAATGGGCGAGCAACTCATGCTGTAGAGAAAATAAATAAAACCAAAGGAGCTAGCAAGAAATGAGAACAGAGGAAGCTGGCAGGACACTGTTCCACTGAGAATAAAGCTGTGCCTAACAGCTGTAAACATGCAAACTCAGAACAGTCACAGAGCCTAGAGTCGTGGATGACTGCACAGAATGAGCTACCATAAGAATTATAGTTTAATATTTTTTGTGAGCAAAAAGGCAAGAGATAAAAACATGGCTATTTCACCTCAATAGCAGCTTAAAGCGTTGCGCAATCAAGTAATACATAGTTTACGAACTATGGGATGATGAGAAAAAAAGCACTATGAAAAATTTTACTATGAAAATCAGTGAAATATGGGCTAGAGAAATAAAATTTTAAAAGCTAGCTGAGTGTAATACTGATGTATTGAACTTCATACTTGAAGCATACTCAGAAATCTCCAAGAAAATTGGCATATATATGGTTGCCCAAAAGTTGTAACAAATTGAAATGTGGCACTTAATGGCATGAAGTATTAAGTGTCTGAAAAGCTTCTAAGGGAACCTGAAATGGCATGGCAACGGTCTTCAAATACGTAGTAAGTTGTTGCAAAGAGGGACAGCTGTACATCTGTAGAGGAAAAAACTGGAATTGATGGGCTTACATTGTAGAAGAGATTCACATTAGACAATAGGAAAACTTTACAGTGGTAAGAAGAGCACACCTATTGCTTAGAGAGATTTGGCAGAGTGTGTTTAGAAATGACCACAGAATCACAAGATAATTCAGGCTGGAAGGAACCTGAGGAGGTCTCTGGTCCAGGCTGCTGGTCACAGCAGTGTCAGCCATGAAGACAGACAAGGTTGTTCTATCCTGTCAGGGTTTGAAAACCTCCAACATTTCCCACAGCCTCTCTGGGCAACCTGCTCCACTGCTCAATTACCCTCAGAGTGATTTTTTTCCCCCCTTATATCTGGTCTGAACTACTTGTGTTTCAGCTGATACCCGTTGTCTCTCCTCCTCGCCCTGTCCATTGCTGTGAAGAGTTTGACCCCATCCTCTCGATGGCCTTCCTGTAGGTTTGGGGGGCTGCTGTTTGGTGCCCCCCGAA